GGCCAGATTAATTGGCGATTGGAAGCATCTGATTTTTACAAGTGAAATACAGTGATAGCTTCTGCAGAAATGCTCTTGCATCTGAAAAAGCTAGCCTTTGAAAAGCTTCTTTGCATATCTCTTAAGCACTGCCTTGAAGGCACCTTACATGTTAGAATTTGAATTTGTGTTATTTGTTTGGGCGTAAGCTTCAAATTTTCTGTATTATTTGCATGGGTAATACACCAGAACATACACAAGACAAAGCCACTCTCAAGCAGGCTCTTTCAGTAACACGGCTAGTTGGGCCAGTTGGTTGCCCTGCCGTGGTGGTATAGTGGCTAAGGTATTCGGCTGTTGACCCGCAGGTCGCGGGATCGAATCCCGGCTGTGGCGGCTGCATTTCCGATGAAGGCGGAAATGTTGTAGGCCCGTGTGCTCAGATTTGGGTGCACGTTAAAGAACCCCAGGTGGTCGAAATTTCCGGAGCCCTCCACTACGGCGTCTCTCATAATCATATGGCGGTTTTGGGACGTTACACCCCACATATCAATCAATAAATGGGCCAGTTGGTTGAAATTCATTGTAAACTTGGTTTACAGTGCAACACCTCTTTCCTTTCACTTTCACTCCTTCCTTGTGTCTGCTTCTGTGGTGTAGTGCTGTAAACGCAGTTCACGGTGAATCTTTCAGTAACGCCTCACAGGGACGGCATTCCAAGCTGAATAGACGTTTATACAGTGGAATTTCGACTATACGTCCCCCGGCTTTGCAACGGTCCGCATTTTACGACTAATTGGTTTGGTCTCGGCAAAATTCCCTTAAAAACAATATATAAAAAACCTCTGTTATACGACGCAGTTTTACACCGACCTTGTATCTTACGACTCTCAGAAACATCGACCAAATATTCACAAGTGCAAAATATGAACATGCGTACCCTCGAGTTTGACGAGTGAAAAAGTTTAAAGTGAGACAGGATGCCTTTATAGAATGTAAAATTTATTCTCCTGGCAATTTATACGTCTTGATTGCATGCGTCGTGGGGTCATTACCTAGTCAAGCTCTATGCTCATAAAGTAGCTTCAGCCGGCCGAAAAGCTGATATTTTCTCATTTTCGATTTGTATAAACCTTTCCTGGTCAACATACCGCTTATCTGCCTTTGTCACACTCGCAGTCACTGGCATGTGCACACACAATGGCATTACACAGCTGTTTTCACTGTGCAAAATTACTTGCACTTGACATCAATGTTCAGAATAACAACGGGACACCGCTAGTTGCACGTCAAAAGGCAACAGATTACGTGCACAGCTCAGTTGCGCATGAACGCATTGAACACCAACTCATGGTTCGTCACCATTATGTAATAGTGATGAGTCTAGAGGCCGAATTTTTAGGCACTAAAGAAGTGTGTTTTAGGGGCCGAAGACAGGCAGGTAAAACGCCTCTCTTTGGCTTTTTACCTGCCTCAAAATCGCAAATAAAGGCACAATAAATTTGTACAAAAATTGAAAATATCCCAAAACAACTTCGGTGACTTGTATCTACGGCAAGAAGCAAAAAGAAAAAATTCTATTGTTTAAGATAGCACAAAGGTACCAACGATTGAACATGGGCATGTATTCACCACGCGATTCGCATTGTGTGGTCTTTCGTTTTATTGTCTAGCATTGTGCATCAAGTGGCCACCATTCCATTAACACTCTCCTGGGTCTCTTCCATTTCGTTTTTGCTGGGAAGAGCAGCGCAGGAGCAAATAACCAGACCACTGATACCCCAGAAGATATGCATGCTAGGTCTAATCTCGTAGAACCAATTTTTACCCTATCGGTGACCACCTTATAGGGCCGCTCACTAGGCTTGAGCATTTCGAGATGACGAGCCTAATAGTGCACTGGGCACTCCAGATCATTCCTGTTAAAATTTGTTAAATTGAAAGTCGCGGAAAAACGCGCAATTTCTAATGAATGCCACTTGCCCTTCTCACGGGCGTGCGTCCCAAGATCTAGGGAGTGACGTAGACAGCAAGGAATGGTCTTGTTTTTACGTCGCTCCTTCACGTTGACATTGGTGGGCTGATGTCGCATACTGTGCGCTCTTCATCAGAACTTCGTTAAATGCTAGCTGTATCTATAAAAACAGACGAAAAATGTTCTGTCTCCTGATTATATCCTACATTTTAAATGGTACATCATTAAGAGTGTTTGCAATTGACATTATTCTACTTGGCATGTGCATTTTGTGTGTTCTATTGTGTAGCATTAATGAGGAGTACTTTGATTTGGGCTAGCTGCTTCATAACATTTTCAAAAGGAAGTGCAAAGGCAGAGGGAAAAGAAAAACAGCTCTCTTTGCCTCTATGTTTTTCTTTTCTTTGTCGTTGCAGTGCCCTTTCAAAATCAGTGTAATGAAGGAACGCTGAGAAAAATAATAAAACATGCAAACGGAATCTCAGCTTATTATTTTTATTTTTAATAGCCTCGAGATGCTTTTCACTGATCGACCCTCGCTTCAATGACAGACCAGTCGATACAGGGTGCTTCGCTGCTGACCCGAATGCCACGGGTTTAATTGTGGCCGTGGCGGTCACATCTAGATGAATGCGAAAAAGTAGATGCTCATGTACTGTGAAATGTCAGTGGACATTAAAGAACACCAGATGTCCCTCATATTCATATCGTGTTTTTTTAACGTAAAACCACACATACTACCACTGGTACTACTATATATACTACTAATAATAATACTGCTACTACTACCCATTTTGATTGCGTTCGTCTTCTCGTCGTTCCTGCATCATGCCTTCGCCAATCCTGACAAGGCTTAGCTTGTGTTTGGTGCGTCATCTCTGACCGCAGTTTCAGCGGAGCAGCGTGGTGTATTGCGGTCACAATACATGATCCTTGCCAGCCCCTTCTAAAGTACACACACTGACTGATCCATACCACGGAATCTGGTAATACATAACACAACATTGATGGCATACGTACACAAGTAGGCTGAGGCACGTCATGTGCACGTGACCTTGCTTACGCATGTTGTTCCTGTTGCATATGCGTCATGTGATTCTCCAGCCCCGATACCGAAGAGAACAGGGAAGGAATTAGGCTCGCGATGGCTACATGGGACCAGAGGCAAAAGATTTAGGCTTGCTTCTTCGCATCATGCTGTGGTGGCTAGTAGCAAACCAATTTTAATAATCACTGTGGTAGAACGCTTTTCATAGGGCACGCAAGAACTTCTAGTGTCTAACTACAACTTATTATGTCACCTAGATAGGGTTGCTTAAAAAGTGAATTACAAACAAAACAAGGCAGCGTGCGTTTCATTTTTTACCCCAAGGCGCTGCAACAAACGGGTTACAATGTCGAAGAAAACATGCCTTCATTGACACAACATACTTTGTTCTCTTTATAAACTATTTCATTCTGTCATAAAACTAACAGAAAAAATAAATTATGAGAAAAATTATATCTTATACGACATTCTAAAATCTTAAATGCCATTGCGCGACGAGGACTCTATAGGTTCATTCATATTCGAATGCGAGTTTTACCATAAAATGCTTGACATAGGAGCTTTAACCACAGTTTAATTCGACACGATAATAGTAATTCCCATCCTAGTTCATTTTTCAAATTGTTACAGCTGTCATTTTTGAGTAGAGGCTCAGGACAAACCTTGAAGCCCTGCTCTGTATTTTTTCATGTTTGTCACTTAAAGACGTATGACAAGGGATCTCATATGGAACAAGCGTATTCAAGAATACAGTGAATGTATGCTAAATACACCGTTGATGTAAACATGTCTCAGGCTTCGCTGTATAAAATATAACGATTTGGCAATTTTCGCCACCACTGAATCAACAAGAGCATCACATGAGTTGCCCTCCATGGTTTTTCATTCGTTCTCCAGCTACCCGCGGCTGCTCAGAATAACCTTTTCTCTTCCCACCAGAACACCCATGTTTTCAGGGCGGTTCTTCAGTTCCTTCAGGGCACTGGGGCAGCTGGCTGTAGAAGGCGGTCGCGGCGTCCTCGGCCATAGACATCACTTGTATTTTCTTACTCCATCTTTGATTCTCCTTCCTCCTTCCCCTGTAGACGCTGAGACGTGCTTCCACTTAGGGCTGCAGAAATAGCGTCTTATGCACTCCTCATTCTTCTTCTCCAATTGCTTGCAGCATGTTAGCTTTGTCTTCGATGAACCTTATAGTGTTTAGAAATATCAATGCTGCCTTTTTTACATGAACAACGGTTACACACCATGCTTGAAAACATAATTTGGGCTTAAATAGTGCTCATATAAATGCTGATCTGAAAATGGGCATTTATAGGAATTTAGGCATGAACGCCAAATGTAGGCACCATAAAAACCCTTCTTAACCTCTAATTTGTGCTCGTATATCAAAATGGCATGATAGGAGCGCAAGGAACAAAATAATATTTGCCTATAATCCAGTGTCAGGCTCTTCCAACGGGAGGCTGTTGGCAACGCGGTTTCGATTTTAAGCACCGGCAATTTTCTGGCTTTATTTATCGGTAAAAAGACATGCATTCGATTCGATTGCTTTTAAGGTTGAGAATAAAGATTATTTGTGCCTCCCTCAACTAAGTAACGCTGCCATTAGCTGCCACTGGAAAGAATGACTTAATGTAACTTCCCTTGCAGCGGCACAAGGTCGTGCCGTGGGCTTATTCAGGCAGTCTGTACCCGTTTTTTGGACAAGGCTGAATGTCACTGTCTGTAGTTTATAGTTTTTAGATTATAGGACAGTTCTACGGGGTCCCCTGAAAGTCGTAGAATCCACTGTACTTGTTTCAAAACGGAATTGCCATGCAAACTGACTGTTTATTTGATAAAATGGCTAAAACTCGGTAATTTTTAATAAATATAGCAACAGTTGCCCAGAGCAAAATTTCAGATGAAAAAAGAAAATTGTGTGGTTTGATTATTTTGTGAGGTATTATGAACACTGTGTCAGATTCCTTTTTTATTTCCACAATATTTCCGCAGGTGCGTGAGACGGCGTTTCAGACGTTCGTAATCATCTACACTCACGTTGGCGAGCGGGTGCGAATGGACCTGGGAAAGAAGTATGGCATTCCACCTGCCAAGTGAGTACCAGTCATCTTTGCTACAGAACTGCAGTGAAAACTTGGTACTACTACAACACAGCCTAAGGAAAGCTGCATTTACCTCATTCAGAAAAATCCAAAGGTGTTCTGATGCAAAAAGCTGCTGTACACCACCTAAAGACCATATTGCTCTTTTTTTTTTCTGTGGGATGACTGCATTGACTAGCGCTTCTGCTAGCACCAATCACTCGTTGCTGTCATTGTACACTGATGAGTGGTGACATAAAACATCTAGCAATATATTGCGAGTTTGGTGCAGTGTACTTGTTGCCACTTGAAAAAAAAATGACATTTTTTTTATGCTGACGTGGAGCAGCAGGCATCGCATTGAATGAAAGCTCAAGAACTAGCTGGAACATTAAAGAAACTTTGATTATAATCATAATAACTAAGCTTGAGCAGGGGTAGTAATTTGTATAATGCTTCATTTCATTTATATCAAGTAAGAGTGCAAAGTTGGAGTGAAGTGCTAAAATTATCGTTGTTAAAACGCTGATGCGTCATCCGACTTGACTGTGGTAGTCCTGTGCACACCTGCCAGGTCTCCTGAATTTTCCAGGAGACTTCCAAATTTTGGTGGTCTGGTACGATTGTACAACTGGGACAGAAATCTCCCAAAAACACATTCGTGTCTGGCGAAATTATTCTCCCAGTCTGGCCACATGGCGCTGTAGCTGCGTAATAATTTGATCTAATGCTACTGCGTCATGTCAGTTCACATTGTGATAAATGAAAAGCCTAAACAGCGTAGCCAGTCAAGCACAAAAGTAGAGTGATTATTGCTTATGCGAGTGCAGCGTTGTCGTTGCTTTCACCTATGCACAAGAATATTGCCTACACAGCTCACTAGTGTGGCGTTAAAGGGCCACTCACCAGGCCCTATACCAAATTTTAGTTAGACCGTAGAAGTTGTTGGGTGTCCAGTAAGGAACATTTTGCCACAAAAATTGTTTCCGTCTGTTCATTTTGAGCTGAGAAAACTGTTTTTCTGAATCAGCTTGAAGTTGAGGTTGAGAGGAGGCGAACTTGAAAACCTTGCCGCCCCTCGGCCTAGCCTTCGCAAGCCAAATTTCTTCCCTACCCGAACAAACCCAACCCCTGCGCCGAAACAAACCCAACCCCTATGCACGCGAGCAGCGTATCTTTTTTTTTTTTAACTAGCGTTGTTTTGAGGTTTACTGCTTGTTTCTGCAGGATGGTTTGGAAACGCTGGCTTAGATGCCGTTCTAGGAAACTAGAAATAAAGATGTTGGTTCTAGTTCACTATAGACACGGTAGAATAGACGAGCACAATCAGTGTGCGAACGTGTAGGAGTGTTCCACGGTTGTCGTCTGCTCGATGCGCTGACCATGGGGTCACGAACGCATGCATAACGCCAGCACATCAGCCCGGAATCTCGTTGCAATTTACGACAAAAATTTAAAAAAAAGATGCTCACATTCCCTTATTGTGTCTCATTATTTATCTGGAGTTTTATCATTCTTTTCAAGCAACAAATTACATAAACTACGCTTGTCGTGTTAAGTAATTTTTGCTATGTCACGTGCCACTGTTGGCACCGTCAGAGCACAGTCGTCTATGTAGAGGACCAACGTCACTGCACTGCCATGTACGTAGGGCCATTCATACGCGCACGTCATGCCCTCATTCTCTGGGTGCGCGCCTGCAAAAGGAAAGGAGAGCAGTGTTCATCTTGAAATTTGTCCCATTTCCGCGGCGCGTAGCGTTGCAAATTTTGGCAGGCGTGATCGTTTTGGCAGGCGTAATCGATGCGAATTTTGGCAGACGTCTCATCTACGCATTGCGCTTGTCAGCTCGAACTTTTAAACCTGGTGATTGGCCCTTTAAGCTGCGATTCTCCCTACAGTTTCTCCCATTTTTGCTGGCTCTCGCCGCAGGCAGCACTAGGCTGCATCCATAGGCTCATCGAGAATTTTCATCTGTTCTTTGTTAGCATTGGTGCAAGGTGTGGTGCATCCTTTGGATACCTTATATTGCAGATTATTACTGGACTCCTATTATAAGTCGACCCCCCAACTTGCAGCCTTGTCTAGGAGGTAAAGAAAGAAAGAATATTGACTTCCAATGCAGCCTCATGCTGTAGCCATTCCTCACCAATAAGTTTTTTAAAAGAAGAAGTTATGCAAAGAAACATTTATTTGCCCATGGAACATTGCTTACGCCTCGTCGTCGCTTGAGAGAACGTCGCAGTCACAGTCATTGCCATCGTGTCAGCCACTGCTGCAGCTCACCATTGGAAGAGGGGCCGGCGCTGCATGTGGAAAACGTAGCACAGACCATGTCGGTTGGCAGTTCGCTGAGCCATTCGTGAAGTTCATTACCTATTTCTTGGATACCTTGAACTCCGTTTGCGGGATGCACATACCCTTTCCGACAGTATGAGCTTTTGCTTAAGTGTCATCGAAACAAACCCAATCATGATGTCATGAGTTAGGGGGCGCGAGGTGTGTGCCAACACTGGAATGCTGTAATGGTGCGCGAGATCCCGATGGTCATATACATGATATGTTCACAAATGGGATTGGTCAGTGGAAAGTCCGTGGCACGCGACCCGAGCTGTGGTCGCAAACCCCCAGAAGATGAGGTGGCATTGTCTTGTGGAGCGCCGACGAAGAAGGTTGAACAATACAACGTGGCTCTTGCGACAAAGGCTCGGTTAACCCGGATCTGAAAGCGGCAACGTTAGGGTCCTGGAAGACAGCCGTCGTTCACGGTAGTCACCTAGAGACTTTTTCCAGACCTGTAGCACTTTGAAACAGCAGTTCCTGGGAGACTTGCCGCTCTGTGCCTTCTTCACAGGATGACCGCAACCCACTTGGAAATCCCTAGAGTTCGACACATCGACAGGTAGGCTTGACCTGCCGGGACCCACAACGACCGGGTCACGAGTGAAGACAAAGGGATCGTCAAGCAGACGCTGACATGATGACTGCGAGATGTCTTCCAGGACTGTGACAACGAGAAACTTGGTTGTAGTCGCGAACCGCCACCACGAAAAGTAAGATCGTTCGATTTGAGGGTGAGAGTCTGTGAGGAAATCCAAAGAAGCTGTAGTGGCTATGGGTCGGCTAGAGCTAGAGGCGACACTAACGTTAGTTTTGGGTTTGATTGTATTGCCGAGCTTTGTGTGCTTGTTTGCTCTAACATGAATTTCTGTGTTTGTTTCGTCCGTCCAGTGTATGAAGTGTGTGTGCTTTGCCACGCCCATCTCAGTCTCTCTAAATCCGTCCTCAGCAAGCGCTCCCGATATTAATCGTGACACATGTATGGCTTCCTCAACGTCCGGGTATCCTCCCGACTTTGGTCGTCGAAAAGAACAACGTGTAGCAGCGCATACAAAGACCTTGGCGGTTTGTTTTCTCCATTAGCTCGCCCACTTTTCCGACAAAATGAACTTGTGCCCGAACTTGCTGCAACGTTGCTTTCTGACCCTGCTTAGAGGATTGCTTGCTACTTGAAAGTAGTGCTGTGCTGTAGCTGGCTTAGCGGTGGCGTGCGTTGGGCAGCGTCACAAATCGGGCAAACCATTGATTGCAAATCAAGCGAAATGCAGAAATGGCGAGCAGGCATGAGTGCAAAAAGACCGGTGATGTAGTTTACCGTAGTTTCGCGCGAAGTGTTGCCAGTCCGCATGGGGTTGCTAGCGTTTCTATGGAACGCCCATGGTCTGTCAACAAATAATTTCCATGGTATGAAAACAAAACTGCAGGCTGTATCGCAAAATAAGGTCCTCTTTTTACCATAGAGCATTGTTAGCCCTCTAACAAAAGTTTGAAATGCTGCTTTTGAGACCTCGTTTCCTGTGACGATTGTTAGAGTGGGAGAGCAGAACAACAACGAAGGGACAAGAGAAGACGAACGCAAGTCTTCTCTTGTCCTTTCATCGTCGTTCTGCTCTCACGCTATAACAATCGTCAGGTCATATCAACTAGCCCTAACTGCCACGCTTCTCGTTTCCCAAGCAGTATCGCTCTAGTTCTGCAATCATTGCAGAAAATTGAAAAACTGAAAAACGTAAGGCTCCGGTAGTGGCATGCGTGTTGGGAGATGGCAGTTCCCATGACCCTGCCGTTAGCATGGTGTTTAGCGAAATTAATGTTTGTTGAATTATTTGCAAGACGTGTTTCGATGTCGTCCACCGCTTTGCACAAACCCTGCTGCACCGCTGTGGGATATGTTAGAGACGCGACTGATGCTTGACGACGACACAGCAGTAACCATGGCCACATCAGCAGTAACCATGGTAAACTTTAGGTGAAGGTGACGAAAGCGCCGCTTGCAGAAAAAAAAAAACTCGGTACGGAGCTCGATGTGGACCCACTCCCCCATTCTGGTTCACTCTAGTGCTCACTCCAGCTATCGTCCTGTATATTCAAGATTTTTTGGCAGTCTTTGGAAAGACACCATCTGTGCTTGTGAAGGGGAGGGGGGAAACAAGAGAGAGAGTTGCTCCCCTCGCAATTGAACTAGCTGATGTGGCAGTGCTGCTGCTGGCACTTCGCATGTATGCCATAGCCAAATTTCATTGCACGTGCTTGCCGTCATCACGAACTGATGCCCTTTCTTTCTTATTTTTATTACTTGTGTATATAGGCTGCAAGCACTGTTCGACAAGTTTGACGAAGTGAAGAGATCTGGGCAGCTTCTACATACTGCAACCCTTGACCTCGGTGAGTAGTGAAAGTGACTTTTATAGGTGTCTACTGCGGGACCTCTTTTAAGGTACAGGCCACTTCTGCTGAGGCCTGTTTTCCATGGCAGTGAATCCAAGGTCATCGTGTGGCCTACATTGTTCAACTGCCAGAAGAATGTGCTGACGGATTCTTCACCGATCTGCAACTTTTTATTTCTGGTTTCAGTAACCTGTTGGATGACATGAGCTTTCCTAACTTTGTCATCTTGTCCGTCACTGTCTTGTTAGTCTTCATTAAAACTATCATGGAATATTGATGCTAGGAAGGCTGGCAACTGTAGTGGCCAGCCTCTGAGTAGGATAACGAAGTAGTCCGGTGGGCACGTGCTTGGGTGTTCGTGCTTTTGGCCTTTGGTTACGAAAGTAAACGCCCTGTTTTGTGCCTGCGTTCCTGTGTCCTTGTGACATTTTCTGGTTGAGGTGCGGGGTACGGTAGGTAATACGGTCCCCAGAGAGCACTCCTGACGCAAACCCATCGAGTAGCTCAGCCCAGCTTACCCCTGTGCACGTACGTTCCAGCGGTCGTCTCCAGGGACTCGAGCCACAGCACTGTTTGCTGCTTGAACGTCAGAGGACTATGAACCAAACACCACCTAACGTCACAGTGCCATCACCAGCGCACCTGGTTGTCAACCAGCCCAAGACGCCGAAGACATTTCACGGAGCTGCTTTTGAAGATGCTGATGACTGACTCTAGCATTTCGACAGTGCCACTGCATCAACGATTGGACCACAGGGTGTAAGCTACGCTACGTGTACTGATTTCTCGAGGACTCCGCAAAAATGTGCCTTGAAAACCATGAAGCAACGCTTACGTCATGGGATGAGTTTCCCGGCAGTTCCTCAAGGCCTTTGTCTGAGAGGGCAGGAAAGAGACATTGGAGCATGCTATAGAGGCAAGGGTTCAAGGGCCTAACGAAAGGGTGGCTACTTACATAAAGGACATGGATCAGCTTTTCAGGCGTGCGGAGCCCTCTTATGACCGAATCCAAGAAAGTTCGCCACTTAATGCGTGGTGTTAAAGAAGAGATTTTTGGCGGCCTTATTTGAAACCCGCCTGCGACACTTGCGGAGTTTCTTGAGGAAGCCACTGCCATGGAGAGGGCCCTTGAACAGCGTGCAAGGCAGTATAACCGTGGTGTAAACCCAAGTGAGGTCACTTCTGTCACTCTCGGCAATGACATCAGCGCGTTACGAGAGCTCATCAGAGGTCTCATTAAGGAGGAGCTACAAAAGATGCAGGTGACTGCTTCACCTGTAGAGCAGCTCTCCGTTGCGGAGATGGTACGCGCCGAGCTACGGCAAGCCGTTCGCGCTCCCCAAGAGTCTGAGGCGCCACAACAGAGGCATTGCGTCGAAACGAGTTACGCGGAAGCAGTGCGACGTCCTCCGTCGTGCAGTTCACTCCTCTCGTTTGTGTGTGCATAGTCGATGAAAAGCCGCCTTTGAAGCAATAGATCTACCTGTCCAAAAGGAATTTGTGAATCCACGTTATTATGTACGCCGGAAAATTGAAAGATTCCAGTCGATCTATCAGAATACCATGCTCTACAGTATTATATGCTTTAGCGATATCCAAAGTAACTAAAGCTGCATATTTGCTATGCCGGCAAATAAGTGTCCCCGCGGAAACTGCGGCCGGCCGCTCGCGGAAGCAAACAGCCGGCACGATCGCCTTGTGTCGTCACGGCGTTGCGCTTTCGGTGGCGGTTATGCTACAGTGAATAAGAAGAAGAATAAGATTTATTTGATCTTGACAACTTCAAGAAAGGTACAGGAGCTAAAGGCGAACAACGCCTGACAGGGGCCCCGGTACCCGTAACATGTTACAACATCATATTACATGGCATAATAGTAGTTCATTGGCAGTAAACAAAAATATAAAAAAATCGTTACACATTTGATATACAATGCGTTAGGAATACAAAGTCTTTCGCATTCGTACGTCCACATAGTTACTGTGCTATTTTTTTTTTTTTTTTTTTAATAGACAGAGGCATAAGATAACAAAAGGAGTATTGATATCAGCACACAATCAAGCTCAATCAAACGCATGGAATGCAATAGTATACATAGATACATACACATACATCCATATATATATACATATATATATATACATACATATATACACACACATATATATACACATACACACATATATACATACACACATATATATACATACACACACACATACACACACATATATACACACATATATACACCTACATACACATATATACACACATATATATACACACATATACATACACATATATACACATACACATATATACACACATACACACACATATACCCACACACACATGTGTTGCAATAGTCATTCTCTCAAAGCCTGTGCAAGTAACAGTTCCTTCACCTTATTTTTAAATGCATTTCTAGTCGTGAAGAATTCAATATGACCTTCTAGCTTATTCAGGATCATTAGTACTTGGTGGCTGGTTGTTTGTGTACCATAGTTAGTCCTGGTTTTTAATGTTCGTCTTCTCTTCAGTCTCATGTCGTATGGGACTTCATTACTGCTGCTGTCGTCTAGATATAGTGCATTGGAATGTATATACTGCAGTAGTTTGAAGTCATAAACTTTGTTTGCTTGAAGCATTTGATATTTTAAAAATAACGGTGACGTGCTTAATTGGTACCATGGCCCCTGATAACTTTCATAAATGCGCAGTATCATTTTTTGTAGACGAATAATCCTATTGTAGTTGGTTTTTGTAGTGGTACCCCAGACCAGTATTCCGTAGCATAGTCTAGAGTAGAACAATGAATTATATAGGTTTTGCTTCAACCAGATAGGTATCAAGGGTGCAATTTTATACAAGCAGCCAACAGCTCGGGAGAGTTCAACGACTAAATTATTAACATGAACGTTCCACGAAAGATGCTCTTGGAACCAGACACCAAGAAACTTTTGCTCTTTAACCCTGGTTAACTCATGCCCTTGGAAAGTTAGAACTATTTCCCGGCTAAGTTGTTTGTTCAGAGCACGAAATATGACATAGTTTGTCTTTGCTATATTAAGCTGCAGTCTATTTTGGCCTAGCCAAGTCGAGAGCAACGCAAGGTACTCGTTGGCCTTAGTTTCCAAATCAGTTAAGTCTGTGGATTTAAAAAAAACATTAGTGTCATCGGCATACATAATAATTTCAGGAGAGTTTGCTATAGTTACAATATCGTTAATATAAACAAGAAATAAAAATGGCCCCAGTATGGACCCCTGAGGAACTCCTTGTGTTAGCTTTAGTTTCGATGATTTTGCGTTTTGTATTTGCACAATTTGAGAACGGTGACTCAGATAGTTTTTAATGAGCTCTAATGCTACTCCCCGCACCCCATACCTAGATAGTTTGTCGTATAAAATATTATATTTTATGGAATCGAAAGCTTTCTTCAAATCTAGAAATAAACCAAGTGTGAAATTTTTGCTATCTATGTTCGTAAGTATACTATCTTTGATGTAGCACAATGCTTTTTCAGTTGATCTGTTTTTCCGAAAACCATATTGGCTATTAGAAAGAATTTTGTGTTTGTCAAAGAAAGAAACCAGTCTTTGGTTAATCACACTTTCAAATATTTTCGACATAATGGGGAGGACCGATATCGGTCGGTAATTTGATAAATTATTTCTAAGGCCACCTTTAAATATAGCTGTCACCCGTGCTACTTTGAGTTTTTGTGGAAAAACACCAGTTGACAACATGAGATTAACAATATGAGCAACTGCCTCCGAAATAAGGTGGGATACTTGTTTTAATTCTTTCGCACCAATCTCATCAATGCCTGGTGCGACATTACTTTTCAGTAGCCTTATTGATGCCTCCACTTCAGCAGGAGATGTTGGTTGTAAGAATATTGTGTGTTCTATCATAGGTGTATCCGGGATATTAGTATCACGGTCAATGTCATTTGGCTCTTCATAACAACCGGCATTTATGAAATGTGCATTTATTGAGTTAGCCAAATCTTCAGCATATATAGTTGTACCGTTTATAGTCATTTCTTTTATATCACTGCACTGTTCCATTCTATTAGTTAGAGCATTTACCATTTGCCATACCTTCTTTGGGTTATCGTAAATGCTCTCAAACTTTGCTGTGTAGTAATTTTTCTTGGCTTTTCTTAAATCAGCATTCAGAGTATTTCGAATTTTTTTGTATCTACAAAACACTTCAGGGTCCCGACAACTAATGAATTCGTGGTATAATTTATTCTTAGCCTTTATGCGTTGATATAGACCTTTGTTTATCCATGGTTTCCTATATTTTTTGTTTCGCTGCACCATGATTTTCTTGAGCGGAAATGCATTGTCAAAACATTTATGGATCATCTCGAAAAACATGTCATAGGCAGTGTTGGCGTCTGCCTGGTCTAATATAATGCTCCAGTCAAGTCCTTGGACTAAGTTTCTAAATACTTCGCGCGAGATGTCATTTAGGTTACGTCGAGAACACATTTGCTCTTGAGGCTTATTTTCATATAAGGTGGCCAGTAAAAATACCGGCAGGTGGTCACTAATATCGGAAGAGAAAACGCCCGTTTTTATGTAGTCTGTGCAAAGGTTTGTAATGCAGACGTCCAGTAACGTGGCACTGTGTGTTGTGATTCTAGTGGGTATATCTACGTAATTTTTACAGGCATACGTGTCCAACATGGTAGTGAATTCCCTAGAGTACGTGTGTGATGATTTCAGATCAATGTTTATGTCACCCATAATAACAAATGAACCCAAAGTGAAAGAATTATCACACAGTAGCGTCTCGAAGAAATGAAGAAAGTTTACTTCCTTTCCAAGAGGTGGCCTATACACAACCACTGCGAGCACCTTGCCAATGCGTAGAGCTAAGCACTCGACGTCATCATTTATGACGGAAAGGTGAGGCAACTTTTCACAAGTAAGCGTGTCTTTGAAGTATATAGCAACGCCCCCTCCCTTCTTAGCGCTGCGGCACA